GTTGGACCGAAGGATCTGTTTTCGTGCCGAATGACTCTATGACCTGCCCTGCTACCTTCAGAGATCTGTGGATATGCACAGCAAGTACCCCTGATCTTTCCAGGGTCTAACTACGCATAGTATGAACCAGAGATAGTAGGAACTGCAGATGCTGGAAAATCTGAGATAACAAGGTGTAGAGCTGGATGAACACAGCAGGCCGAGCAGGAAGGCTGACGTTTCGGGCCTAGACCCTTCATCAGAAATGGGGGAGGAGAAGGGGGTTCTGAAATAAATAGGAAGAGAGGGCGAGGCGGATGGAAGATGGATAGAGGAGAAGATAGGTGGAGAGGAAACAGACAGGTCAAAGAGGCGGGGATGGAGCCAGTAAAGGTGAGTGTAGGTGGGGAGGTAGGAAGGAGAATAGGTCAGTCCAGGGAGGACGGACAGGTCAAGGGGGCGGGATGAGGTTAGTAGGTAGGAAATGGGGGTGCGGCTTGAGGTGGGAGGAGGGGATAGGTGGGAGGAAGAACAGGTTAGGGAGGCGGGGACGAGCTGGGCTGGTTTTGGGATGCGGTAGGGGGAGGGGAGATTTTGAAGCTTTTGAAATCCACATTGATACCATTGGGTTGCAGGGTTCCCAAGCGGAATATGAGTTGCAGTTCCTGCAACCTTCGGGTAGCATCGTTGTGGCACTGCAGGAGGCCCAGGATGGACATGTCGTCTGAGGATTGGGAGGGAGGGTTGAAATGGTCCGCGACTGGGAGGTGCAGTTGTTTATTGCGAACCGAGCGTAGGTGTTCTGTAAAGCGGTCCCCGAGCCTCCGCTTGGTTTCCCCGATGTAGAGGAGGCCACAACGGGTACAGCGGATGCAGTATACCACATTAGCAGATGTGCAGGTGAAAATCTACTTGAAATGGAAAGTCTTCTTGGGGCCTGGGATGGGGGTGAGGGAGGAGGTGTGGGGGCAGGTGTAGCACTTCCTGTGGTTGCAGGGAAAAGTGCCGGGTGTGGTGGAGCTGGAGGGGAGTGTGGAGCGGACAAGGGAGTCACGGAGAGAGTTGTTCCTCTGGAAAGCAGATAAGGGTGGGGAGGGAAAAATGTCTTTGGTGGTGGGGTGGGATTGCAGATGGCGGAAGTGTCGGAGGATGATGCGTTGGATCCGGAGGTTGGTGGGTTGGTACGTGAGGATGAGGGGATTCTTTTTTGGTTGTTATTGCGGGGACGGGGTGTGAGGGATGAGTTGCGGGAAATGCGGGAGACACGGTCGAGGGCATTCTCGACCACCGAGAGGGGGAAGTTGCAGTCCTTGAAAAACGAGGACATCTGAGATGTACGGGAGTGGAATGCCTCATCCTACGAGCAGTTGCGGCGGAGGCGAAGGAATTGGGAATAGGGGATAGTATTTTTGCAGGAAGGTGGGTGGGAGGAGGTGTATTCTAGGTAGCTGTGGGAGTCGGTGGGCTTGAAATGGATATCGGTTTCGAGGTGGTTGCCCGAGATGGAGACAGAGAGGTCCAGGAAGGTGAGGGAGGTGTTAGAGATGGTCCAGGTAAACTTAAGGTTGGGGTGGAAGGTGTTGGTGAAGTGGATGAACTGTTCGAACTGTCCTCCCACCCACCTTCCTACAAAAATGCCATCCCCTATTCCCAATTCCTTCGCCTCCACCGCATCTGCTCCCAGGATGAGGCATTCCACTCCCGTACATCTCAGATGTCCTTGTTTTTCAAGGACCGCAACTTCCCCCCTTCGGTGGTCGAGAACGCCCTCGACCGTGTCTCCCGCATTTCCCGCAACTCATCCCTCACACCCCGTCCCCGCAATAACAACCAAAAAGTGTCCCCCTCATCCTCACGTACCACCCCACCAACCTCCGGATCCAATGCATCATCCTCCGACACTTCCGCCATCTGCAATCCGACCCCACCACCAAAGACATTTTTCCTTCCCCACCCTTATCTGCTTTCCGGAGGGACCACTCTCTCCGTGACTCCCTTGTCCGCTCCACACTCCCCTCCAGCTCCACCACACCCGGCACTTTTCCCTGCAACCGGAGGAAGTGCTACACCTGCCCCCACACCTCGTCCCTCACCCCCATCCCAGGCCCCAAGAAGACTTTCCATTTCAAGCAGATGTTCACCTGCACATATGCTCATGTGGTATACTGCATCCGCTGTACCCGTTGTGGCCTCCTCTACATCGGGGAAACCAAGCGGAGGCTCGGGGACTGCTTTGCAGAACACCTACGTTCGGTTCGCAATAAACAACTGCACCTCCCAGTCGCGAACCATTTCAACTCCCCCTCCCATTCCTCAGACGACATGTCCATCCTGGGCCTCCTGCAGTGCCACAACGATGCCACCTGAAGGTTGCAGGAACAGCAACTCATATTCCGCTTGGGAACCCTGCAGCCCAATGGTTTCAATGTGTATTTCACAAGCTTCAAAATCTCCCCTCCCCCTACCGCATCCCAAAACCAGCCCAGCTCGTCCTCGCCTCCCTAACCTGTTCTTCCTCCCACCTATCCCCTCCTCCCACCTCAAGCCGCGCCCTCATTCCCTACCTACTAACCTCATCCCGCCCCCTTGACCTGTCCGTCCTCCCTGGACTGACCTATCTCCTCCCTAACTCCCCACCTACACTCACCTTTACTGGCTCCATCCCCGCCTCTTTGACCTGTCTGTTTCCTCTCCACCTATCTTCTCCTCTGTCCACCTTCTATCCGCCTCCCCCTCTCTCCCTATTTATTTCAGAACCCCCTTCCCCTCCCCCATTTCTGATGAAGGGTCTAGGCCCAAAACGTCAGCCTTCCTGCTCTCATGATGCTGCTTGGCCTGCTGTGTTCATCCAGCTGTACACCTTGTTATTTCATAGTACGAACCCTTGCTTTGTCAGCCCCCCCAGTGAGTTACCTCACTTTTCTGGACTGAATTCCATTTGTTGTTTCTCGGCCCACTTGACCAGTCCATTCATATCTTCCTGCATTTTATAGCTGTCATCACGATATGCCATCTTACTAATTTTCATATCGACAAACTTCTTGATCATACATCTACATTTAAGTCCAAATCATTAGTGTACATGACAAACAAGAAGAGCCCCACCACTGAGCTCTATGGAACCCCAGTGAAAACGTACATTCAGTCACAGAAACATCCCTCTACCATTGTCCTCTGCTTCCAGCCACTCAGGTAATTTTGAATCTATTTTGCTACATGGTATGCGGTTTTGCTTTGTTAACCAGTCAACCATGAGGAAACTTGCTAAAGTTCATGTCCAAGCAATCAAATGCATTACCCTCATCCACAGTTCCGGTTACTTCCTCAAATAGTTTGGTCACATTTGTCAAACACTATCTTCTTTAACAAATCTATGCTGGCTATCCCTAATTAATCCTTGTCTCTCCGAGTGTTCCTCACAACTCTTTCTAACAACTTCACCACTACCAAGGTTAGACTGACTGGCCTGTAATTTCCTACTTATGCCTTCCTCCATTTTCTAACAATGGGGCAATGTTAGAAATCTTCCAGTCCTCTGGGACCACAGCAGAGGCCAGGGCCTCTAATATCTCTTTCCTTCTCATCAACAACCTGGGATACATCTCATCCAAGCCTGCACCTGCCTGCATAAGCCACCTTTAAGCCCTCTTGTACCTCCACACTCTTTCTCTTAATTTCTTTGAATTTCACAGATCTCTAACCTGCTGTCAGCGTCTTGTCAGTCCATTTTTTCATTGTGATTCCAACGCAAAGTATTCATTGAAGATTATGATGTTTCAAGGTCCACACTGTTTACCTTTGTGGTCCCCTGATGGGCCCTACTCTCTCTTCCTTTATTCTCTAGCTCTTTATATATGTTTTAAAACTCTTTGGATTTTTCTTTATTTTACCCTCGAATGCTTTCTCATGCATTCTGTTTGTTTTCTGTTTTCCTTTTTAAGTTCCCCTTTGCACTTTGTACTCCTTTAGAGTCTGTGTCCTATCAAGCCTTCAGTATCTCCTTAAGATTCTCTCTTAATCCTAACCTTTATGTTCCTTGATACCCAGGGTTCTCTGGTTTCAGTCTCCTTCATCTTTATGGGAACATATTTGCCCTGTTTCCCGTTATTTTCTCCTCGAATGCTTTCCACTGCTTTGACACAGTTTTATCTGGAAGTATTTGCTCCCAGTCTACTTGCAACAAATTGTATCTTACTTTAGTAAAAGTAGCCTTTTCCCAGTTTAGAACTTCTATTCCCAGCCCATCCTTATTCCTTCCCATCTCCATCCTGTACCCTAACTGATTTATGGTCACTATCTCCGAAATGCGTCCTGATTGATGTGCTTTCTAACTTGCTGGGCTGATTTCCAAATATTAGGTCCAAAACTGCTCCCTCTCTTTTTTGGCTTTCTGCACACTGGCTAAAAATGGTCTCCTGAACACAATTTAAGTATGTTGTTTCGTTTCTACCTTGCACACTAAAACTATACCCGTTAATTTTAGGGTAGTTAAAATCCCCTACTGTTAGTACTTTATTATTCTTGTGCTTCCCTAACGTCTTTTTGAATTATATGGAGTTAATGCCCTAGAGTGTACAGTCCAGTTGGATTTTTAAGATCTCTGGATAATTATCCTATTTGTCTACCAGGTATAATATAAATAATGTTTTTTAAAACACCAACATCTCATAGTTTTTGTTATTTTCTCCAAATGAATAGCTGGATTGGTATAATACAACTTAATTTGGCTATAGAAACACTTTAAATTGCCATTTTCCAAAGTCTTTGAAATTGTTTATTATGCTTTACATGGGATAATGAATGTGTTACCAAACCTCTGTTGAAGTTGGAAACATATCTCTTTCTTCATTTCCACAATGCAACCTGTTAGTTTTTGAATAGGTTTAGATTGTCACATTTTAGATCACATGCATAACCACCTTTCTTCCTTCAGAGGTTGATGATTTATTTGTTCAGGTATTTTGTCTTAAGTGCTAATTTTGACATGATGCAATATCAGACACCCTGCTGAATTTTGTAAAATGGTTATAAAATGCGTCAACATTTCATATTTTTCAGAAAATCTCGGTAAACTTTTCAGCCTAATGGATCCAAACTCTCCTGAGAGAGCAGCATTTGTATCCAGAGCACTGAAGTGGTCTAGTGGAGGTTCAGCAAAACTCGGACACCCAAAGTTACACCAACTGTTGGCAGTCACGCTATGGAAAGGTAATGACCACGATAACCAAAAGTCAATATCCCAGTTGCAGATGTGCCACTTTTATAATGATCTGCAGTTGTTTAAGGTGATTGTATAACTCATGTCACATTGTCAACTGATGCCCAAACACTGGACAACCTGAACACAGCTATCATATACTGCTTGCACTTTATAGCAAAAGCATACACCTCCAAACCAATGTGAAGCTAGGTTTCAAAATTATAACCTGATTGGGCTGAAGTACTGGATGATAAATTCAGTAGTCATTTTACTGTTTTAAGGAAGTGCATGCTGCAGTCTATATGCACCACCCTTCACAAAAAATAGTCATTGTATTGTTAGAGCCCTGGCTGATAATTCAGTATTTTTATTTTATTATTTTATGAATTTTGGTTCGGAGCTATGAACTGGGAACTGTGAGCTAAAGATGATTTTTGAACTGTCGGTAACACATAGTGTTAAAAGGAAAACAGACCAAACAACTTTTTATTTATTCATGAGGCCTGGTATGGAAGTTAATTGAAAGTAGGTTCCTGGTCAAAGGATTCTGCAGACACTTCGTCACTGAGGAAGAGCGTTATGTTTAAACAGATGGTAGAAGTTGGCTATTAACGAAGTCAGTAGGCGGGAATTAGTTCCAGAAAATTGGGCAAAAACCTTGTGCTCAAGCAGATAGCAGATGTTAAATGGTAACTGGGACCTTGTGGAGGAGATGGAGATGGACAGTCTGTCAGGAAGTGGTCAGAGTTTGAGTGGGGTTTTGGACCATGTTTTCTGGAAAAAGGAATCTGGCTGTTGATACTACAGCATGAAGATTTGAAAGCTCCCTGCCTAACTTCTCTTATCACCTCTTGGAAGCTCAGAGAATAAAAAAAAACAAGTTATAAGTATTACTGGCTTTATCTCAGTGAACTATAAAAGTGACCATGATCACCATGTTCAGAAATTAACCAAGAAACCATTCTCTGTGCCCGTGGAACGATGCATAGTGAAAACCACATAAGTTATCTGGCCAGTTCCGATATTTTCTGTTAGTAACCCTTAATTCTGCTTGTTTGTCTGTCTTTGTGTGAATGGGGCTGAGAGCAAAGACCAATTAGATTACTTTGTTGTTGAATTTACCCTGCTAAAGTTACTATATTGTCAATAAATTGCTAAGTTTTTTGATTTAAGGTACAAACCAGTGTCTGGAATTGAGTATTTGCAGTGTCGGGAATTGGTTATTCGAAAATCTGGTTGGGAAACATTAAAGTCAATTTTGAGGGACTTTGAAGTTTGTAATTTTAATATATTATGAATACAGAGGCAGAAAGTCTGATTTGGTTTGGCTGTCTACGTTTCGTAACAATATATATTTCTGTTTTGCTTCCAAAGCTCGTCGTTGTGCACTGAAAGGAGAAACAATTGATTAGAATTTTGAAGTTTCTAGAACTGCATCTGTTAGATGCAATTTAAAAGTATATGTTTACGACCAATATAGTGATAAAATTGGCTGCTATCCCTTTTATTGGCAAAATACACTTCCATGTTTGGCTGAGTTGATATATTTAATAATTTGACCAGATTCTTAATTCACTGTGTGCTTAGAGAATCAGCCAAACATCCTTCAAATAGAAACTTAGAAAATTAATGACACAGAAGAAGGGCATTCAGTTCATCTTGTCAGTACTGGTAAATTATGTTCAGTTTCATTGCTTTACATACAATGATTTTGCATCTCTTTCCAGAACAAAACTATAGTGAATCTCGGTATCACTTCCTTCATTCAGCAGATGGGGAGGGTTGTGCAAATATGTTAGTAGAATATTCTGCGTCAAAGGGTTACCGGAATGAAGTGGACATGTTTGTGGCTCAGGCAGTCTTACAGTAAGTATTTGGTAAATAAGACAAATGCGCTCTCCTTGTACTATAATAATGCTTCCAGATAGTTGTATTTATACTATATTATATTATAATATTGTATTTATATTATTAAATAATATAAGCTTAATCTGATGCGTGTAGGTTTCTGTTGAGAGTTGACTGTTCTTCAAGGCCATTTGTAGTAGTGCTCCAAGCTGGAAGTACTAGCCAATTGCGAAGCTTTTTTTTCTTTTAACCGAAGAAAGATTGAAGCAAGAGGTAGTTTACTGTATTCCATAATTGGACTAGCTTCTCTAGTTTTTTTACTTGGCACTTGGAAGCATAAAAGCAACAAAACAAAAAGGCATGTAGATGTGGAGCATTATGTAGATCAATGACCTTCGTTTACTTTAGAAATTGAGTGTTTTGGAGGTTTAAAAAGGCATTCCCCAAACATGTTTAGACAGATGAATCCACTTAGTCTCTTTTAAATTCAGAAAACAATTTAAGCAAAAGCATGGATGATGGTTGTTCCTTGGTGAAGCTTCCATGGCAGCACCTTGACCAATCAGTCCACCTGTCAACTAAACAGCACCCTTTTTCTCATGCAGTATAAATTGTTATTTCTTTTGAAGTTTGATGCCCTGATGAGTGCAAAATGAAAAGCTTCATCAGCATGTTCTCTTCAGCAAAACAAAAGTCTTTTAATGGTATTTCTAGAAATATGTTTCTTGTTATAATCCATTTGAAAATCTTTGCTCGAGTAGCCTTGTTTTAATCACAAACAACAACAGAAGTTGCTGGAAAACCTCAGCAGGTCTGGCAGCATCTGTGAAGAAAAATCAGAGTTAACATTTCAGGTCCGGTGACCCTTCCTTAGAGCTGATGGCAGCTAGGAAAATGTTGCTTTGTAAGCAGAAGTTAGGGTTGGGGTTTGGGGGG